TAAAACATATGCTCCACCTTTGGAGAAATTTTGCAGAATGTGAGTGGAAGCTAAAAACCCATAATCTCACCACCCAGACAATCCTAATGTTTCACTGTGTTTTTCTACATTTAGACATTAGAATGATTAGAATAGTTAATGCCTTGCTGAGCTTTATATATTGCTCTTATATTTAATATATTATCAGCACTAATATCAAGAAACAGCTGTAAAGATTTTTTTACAGTTTTATTCCTTTTTAGTAGAAGTCCATGTCATCATTTATTCATTCTTTTAATGTTAGCTATTTAGACTGTTGTAAGTTTCCTGCTATTATAAACAATGCTGTGTTGGACATCTTCACGCACACACTTGTGCTGGCATTTTAAACTACTTGAATGGACTTCCAGGGGCCAACTACTTGAGCAGAATATGCTGACACTTTATAGATATGTTTTGTTTTTAATATGTAGCATACATACAGGCTCACACTTGTCTTACTTATTTTGTAATTAATAAATTGTCTTTGACTGAACACAAAAAAGTCATATACAGTATCTAAGTTTTAATCCATATGAAATAAAATGATCGATACATAAGTATTGATTTCATAAATTTCATCAGCAACAAAGTCTAATTATTTTTAATTAATATGGACTATAATTAAGGATCTACCTGATTATAAATCTGGGTACTAGAGTGGATGATGCAGGTCAGTTTTAGGGATGACAGCAAATCAAGCAGGAACCCCAAACTCTATTTATCTCTACAGAGCATCCCGGCATTTGCACTACCAGGGGAAACTATCCACACGCCTGACTTGTGCAAGATGTGACAACAGACAGCCAGAAAGAAAATGAAAGCTTCTTCAGATAGAAAAGAGTTGCCAGGCCAGAAAATCTGGCTAGGAGCCGGTGGATCTTCTACCTGTAGGCCTCCATGACTTCCAGAAAACTCTGCTACTCACAGCCCTATCTGCTAGAAGACAGAAAGTATTTCTAGTTTACAATGGCCGTGACCATTTGTGAGGAAATCCATGCAGCTTCCACTCTTTTATATTTAATGGTGAAGAAGCAATGAGGTGACTATTTTCACATGTTCGTCCAAAATCTGTGCAATGTTAGCAGCTATATCAGGCTGAGGGGGAGGCAGCAATTCTTTCTACTGGGATTCCTTAAACTCACCTCTTAGGAATGCTTATAAATGAGGAAAGAGCTCACTCATTCCTCTTTTTATTCATTCATGTATTTCTTTTTGTTCTTTATTCAAAAAAATGGTTATTGGATCCCATCTATCTCCAAAAGGTAGCTGCTGTGCTAGACACAGATGCCCATTAGAATACGTGATGACTCCCCTGCCCCACAGGCTTAGGGTCTAATCAAAGAGGCAAGGAAGGGCAAACTGGCAGCAGCAAAGAAATGTAGGCTGTGGCAGAAGAGACACTAAGAGGCCTGATGGCTAGTCCAGAAGAGAAATCACACAAGCAGAACGGGAGGACTATAAGGTGGAAGACAGGTAGGGACAAAATGCTCCGGACAGGGCGGGGACATGCTGTGGAAGGTAGAAGGGCAGCACAGTTGCCCACAGGTCAGCTGGGTGGGCTTCAGCTTCTATTTACAATCAGAAAACTGTCGAGCATGAGACCATGTAGACACCAACTTTAGTGCCACACAGACATTTCACAATGTCAGAAGGTGAGGCCCAGAATGGAAAGGGCCTCGCCCAAAATCCCAAAGGAAGTTGATTTTGTGCAAGGTGAGCCTACAGGTTCTGCCATAGGCCTACACCAGCCAGCCACTCGGTTTTCTTTGGAAAACTTTCATATGGGGTCGCCATATATACCTACGCCGGTGTACAAAAGATATGTGTTCTAGATGACATTAATACAACGATGTAATTGGTAACCTTTGGGTTTAAAGAGAATACTTCTTCCTTCATTAGTAATCTTTCTGGGAAGTAGGCTGAAGTCTACCATTTGAATTACATTAAATAAGTGGTCAAGGCTAGGAGAAAAGCAGCTGTCTTCCTAGCTCTGCTTCACGCCTGAAAGGAGGCACTTCGCTACTGAGTCACCCTAGGACACAGTGGCAGCACTCATTATTCGTGAGCACTGTGTGAATACAAGTGCAAAGATGAATAGTGAACACACGAAATTATGCTGAAAATTAAATTGCTACTGTTAAGGTAGCCTCAGGCATAAGCCCTCAGCAGTCAATGGGGTTAGTTCCCAAATAGTTCCCAAAAAATCCAACCAAACACGGATGACACATAATGTGATTATTCCCTTATTACATTACCTTACCTTAACTTTCCTGGGACTGCAAAATCCTACTCGCCTGCATCTTTCTTCTGCCCTGCTAACTGCACCACATTAATGGATGTCAGAACAGTCCTCACATTTTTTTCTATCAAGTCTGTTAAGAGGGGAAGAAGGTTCCTGTTGTTAATTGCAGGGTGATCTCCCACTCTTTGTTTTAAGGAAAGTTTAAACAAAATGATCACCCACTCTGGGGCTTTAAACAAAGTTCAAACAGAACAAAGTTTTCTTGCCAAGGTTTAAGGCAAATTTCCTCTGTCCAGATGGCTTCCTCAGGCAGGCCAACATAAGAACCAAGACCTCACCCCTGCTGCCTTTTAATGCTGCTCCTTGATTGTTGTTAACGATCCCCAGCTGTCCTGCCTTGCTAGCTCCTTACCCTCTCTGTCATCCACATCTGCTTGCAACTTGAAGGAGCAAAAAGGAGATGCTCAGAAAGGGCCGCCCCCAAAGCGACACAGGTGGGGCCTGAGTGGTGGGACCATGCACTGGGGGCCTGATGAGAAACCAAGTTTACCCAAAGAACCTTAAGGAAAAAGCTAGAGGGTAATTTTTATGTCAAGTAAATAAACCTGATGATGAAAAATGCCACGAACTGCAGCGAACCCAGCGAGAACCTAGAAGTGCAGCCACTCTACCAAGGAGGTCACTTTTCCTACTGATGAATCCACACATGTTCTAGGCAGCAGCCTAGGTGGGGATGGTGGCTGTGAAAATTCTGATACTGTTCCACATAACCTGTCCACCTTTTCCGCTCCCCAGCTACTCACTTTAATCAAGCCCATCACCAGTAAGGCACATTCACTTCTGACCTGAATCAGATACTAGTGGGCCATGTCCATGCCTTGTATTGACTGTTCCCCTCTGTTTTCTTTGTGTACTGCACTCATCTAGCCATGTCAGTCAGAGTACCCTGAGGCGGGGACAGGATCTTAACATGCACGCCTATGCAAAGTTCATTCAATTACTCCGTTAAAAAGTGCTTTGTGATGGAACCGTCACCCAGGGTGCACTACAGTTTTCCCGTCAAGTCCACTTCACTTATGTTAGTCTAAGTTTCTCTTCCATGCAATGTACCCTTCCTTCCCCACATCCTGGTTCTTCCCCCGCCCCCTTAGTTTTGACTTTTTCTGTGTGTGTTGGCAGTGGTAGTGCTGGGATTAACCTTGGTTTTGCACATGCAAAGCACATGCTTTTCAGCTGCCCACCCCCAACTCCCTCAGATCCTATTTCTTGAAGGAAGCAAGCCCATTATCTCTAGCCTAAAACCTAAATATTTGGCTGACTTAGCAAGGTTTTATTTATTTGCTTGTTTCTTTGTTTTTGCTCATGTTAGGTTATTATCAAGCCCTTTTTTAAAAAGTTTCAGAATTTTAGAAAAAAAAGGTTGAGCTCCCTGGCTCAGCTCATAAAACCAAGGCAGGAGGCTAAGAATGGTCTAGTGGCAGGAGGATGGCAGACTTAGACGGAGGCCCTGTTCTTTCGATTGCTCATCCCGTGATACCAGCCACAGCTGATGAGTATCTGAGCCTTTGCCTTATTGTCCATGAAGCTAGAGGACACGGTGTGGCTCTGGGGGTCATTACCGGAATCAGAGATAACATATAAAAAGCTTATAGCCCGTGTCTGGCACACAATTGGCACTAAGCAAACTATTACATGTAGTCAAGATGTAAACCAAATTCTTTCCCAAAAGTAACCTTAAGAGGTGATGTGGAAAACAGTGGATGGCTCAATGAGAAAGCAAACTTGCCAAGAAATGCAAGTGGCTGGTGACCACTCTGCTCCCACACGGTGGTCCCCATCATGCCTCCAACTGCCCTTGGCATTTTTGAGAGTAGGACTGCCACCAAACCCCAGCACCACACCTACTGCTGATTATAATGTCAGCTTCAACCAGGTTGGCAAGGACAGAATACCACCTTCCAGACATGATAATAGGTTTCACTGTGTTCTGAGACAGTCAGTGCCTAGAGCATTCCTGGCCCCTGGTGCAGTATTCAAATGGAGTACTCCTGTTCAGGAAGAAAATCCTAAAAGAAGGCTTCCTGGTATACCTCAATTTTTGAATTGATATACTGCAATTTACAATTCTGACTCTTGTTCTTCAACAAAACTTCACTACAAATTAGGTAAATACCTGATTCTTTCCTCTCATTGGTGTAAGGCCCCTACTCTGTAAGTCCTGCATATGTCCTAGGATGTTAGCAGTTAGAAGCAAAATCCAAATGCTGTTGTAGGGCTTCAGTAGTTACAAACTATAAAAAGACTTTTTGACAAAAGTAAAGACAATGTGGAAAACAAGATGCTTTACTTTTTCACATTGCCCCAGAAATATAAACTTTCATGAGCTTCCTCGTAATCAATGATATTGATGAACTGTGTTGTACAATATTAAAAGCACATCTTAAAGAAACATTTTTCCTACTAGAAAGGTTACTGAGAGGTGTGGGGAGGGGGAAGTAAAAAGGATCAAGATGTAATATGTATATCTGCTAATATATTCATTACATATCACAAACATATACTAATAAAAAATTTTAAAAACAGAAAGATCACTGCAAGTTGTTTCCAAAATTCTACGAGGTCCAAAGAAGTAGGTAAAGAAAGTTTAAAAGACGTGCATTTTTCAGAGAGTACAACATCCCTGGTATACATGGTCCCTATCAAATGACTTCTGAAACTCACTAGTTTTATTTTCCAGACATTCCTCAAGTCCTCCACATCACTTATCCTTAAAGAGGGTTCTGATGAAGCTGGACTCCAACCGTACACAGACAGATGCTCCTCCTTGAAGGTGAAGCAGAAAATCACTGGCCCCTTCTCAACTCTGAACTTCCCTCTCCAGGGGATCCAGAGGTTTCCATGCATCTGCCGTATGCCCCCCCCCCACCCAATCCGCCTTCTATTCAAAAGAACAACAACGGGGTATTGAGTTTTTGTGAATATAAATAAAACATTATGTAATGATGAATCAACAATAGTAATAAGGTCTATAACAAAATTAAACAGCAGCAGCTGCAGCATGGAACAGATGGTGAGAAGCCATGCCTAGAAATCAGAAACAGCCTTTGTGCTGAATAAGGAAACAGAGGCACACTGGACACTCCTGGAGAAACCCCTGTGGACCTCTGCGGTTTGGCCAGCAGGAGGTCTGACCCCTGAACAACAAACACACAATCAAAGCGAGACAGTGGTGTGAGAATTTGTTTGGATCAATTTTTCTTTCCAGCCTTGGACAGCTATACGGGGTGACATCTTCACAGAACCAAGCTCCTTGCAGATTCTAGCACATTCTGTTTCTCCAGCCACTGCCTGAGCAGTGCACAGAGCATTTATCCTGCACATCTACAGGCCTTCGCTGAATGTTCTGGAGTCAGTGTCGATGTTCATGTACCAAGGGCAACACCACCGAGCAAAATGTCTGCAAGGTGATTCCTCAGTCAAGGTTAAGGAGATCAGGAGGTCATGGCAACTTCAAGTCTTACCCACCCATGGGCCTAAGCTAATAACTGTTTTGATTTTCCCTTCTGACATTTATGAGTGAAATTTGCAGATAAGATCAATCAGGCCAACAAGGGCTGAAGAGGAAAGTTCTCTCTCATTCCTCATAAACCACCTGCTTTTAAGACTTTCCTACAGACAATAAATTGTGACCAGCATAAACACAGTTGCAAAGGGTACTACTTTTTCACTTTACTTAGATTTTTAAATCTTTAAAGGCAATAATAAAAACAGACTTATTATAAATATTTTAATGTCATCAAAAACAAACTTTAACGAAAAAGAATTGATCATGAAATACATAATAAATGTAACTGAACCCTTTGTTAACATCCCATTGTAAAGTCGTTTGTCTTTCACTTGCTGAGCTATTGGATAAGCAGAGCCCTTTATAGCCAACACACTAGTAATTTTTTTAAAAAGACTGAGTTAATGTACTGACAGACAAGAACATGAACTGCCTCGTGGGCAAATCTGCAAAACCTGTTTTCCTGAAGAATAACCAATGCAGGAAAGATTAGTACGTGGGCTGGCTTCTGGGAGGAACCCAGAGCAGGCTGGACTGGGCCATACTGTGCATTCGTACCTGGACTGGGTGTGAGGGGAGACGAGGGATTACTGCCCTGACTCAAAAAGCAAAGTACTTTCCCATCCATAGAAGAACTGAGAGTTCCTGACACGGCCAGTCTCCTTCCTCCCTCCTCCACCCAAGGGATCGGTTAGTCATTTATGTACTGTGGACAATTGTGTGAACAATACACTGGTCTCTGGGCTTCTGAGTGATGCTCTTCCTATCAAAAACAATGGAGCTGATAATGTAATGGCAATAACTGTCCACAGGACTCATTGACATAAGTTAATAGAAACTACTTGAGCTGCCTACCTCTGCTGACGAGTGTCAGGGTATTTGGAACAAAACACAAGAGAAGGGTCGGGGATGTAACCCAGTGGCACAGCACCTGCCTGGCAAGTGCAAGGTCCTGAGTTCAATTCCCGGTACAAAAAAGAGAGAGATGCCAGGCGTGGTGGCACACACCTGTAATCCCAGCCCTCAGGAGGCTGAGGCAGGAGGATCATTGAGAGTTCAAGACAGCTTGGGCTACAAAGTGAGCTCAAGGCCAGTCTGAACTGCACAGGGAGACCCTGTCTCAAAAAAAGACCACACAAAAAAAAAAGAGAGAGAGAGAGAGAAGAGGGAGAAGATAAGCTGTTCCAAATCCATGTTAAGCCATAGCTAAATTTTATCCAGAAAACAGAAAATTCTAGTTTAAAATAATATATAAACTCCTATTTTCCCATCTCTCACTCCTTTTCCTTCTCATCCTACCTTTTCTCACCCCTCTCCTTCCATTGATATCACCTCAATGACATGAAATGGCTTGAAGCAGTACAAAAAATAAAATTTACAAATATGAATTACATTAGAAATTCAGAGAGAGGGACAATATACAACAGAAACTGAAGCACAGGCAAATTTAGAATGTCCATATGCCGGCTAAGAACCTCCAAATTATCTGGAGCAAATTGAGCTCCAGATTATATTATGAAATCATTGGTAGTCTAAGTGAAAAAGAAAATAAATGTATGCGTTTTTATTGTGCATATCAGGATTAGAAAAACTTAAAAATCATTCTAATCCTTGAAATATGACTGACTGACTATATTTTTTCCAGTGAAATTATGGCTTTCCCTTTGCCAAATAAGAATTATATTTGTTCCACTTTTTTTGGAGGGGTACTGGGAATTGAACTCAGGACCTCACACTTGCCAGACAAGTGCTGTGTGTCTGAGCTATATCCCCAGCTCTATTCCACATTTTATAGTAACAGACATAGTGAAAATTAATGAGATATCTTATATAGTAAACTCATGAAACAGACAGTAGATAATTTTCACAAAGTTTGGGACACCCCCCCCCAAAAAAAAAGCATACCTGAATATTAAGTATATATAATCAAACACATTTTCTAATTATAAAACAAAAAGATCAAGTTCTGCTTCATTAAAGTTTGGCCCTTTCATTGCTGAGATTTTTTTGTCTGTTCATTTCTTTTTTTGCTATAATTCTTCTGTAAAGCAGGACTGTACATCCATCCAATAACTGTGATGAAGACTTAAAAGAGACAAATTACTTTACAATGATTATGGGGCACTTTTACCCATTTCACCTTTAGAAAAGAGTATAAAGAACTACTAGAGAAAATAACTGACTAACCTTAAAAAATAGAAAGGATCCATTTGAAACTGCCATCTCTAACCTTTTGAAATTTATAGAGGAAATACAGTAGTAGCAATTTTAAAACAAACAAAACTCAAATAATTTTGTGGCTTCATTTTGACATCAACCATACACAGAAGAGCAAAATTCAATGGAGAATTGCTAAATTTTATTTCTTAGCATTTACTTTGCCTGGAAAAGTTTGCACATCACTTATGTTGCTGCTATTTGATACTAAATAATATGATAGTGACCTATATATAAAATATTATTATAATTAATTATTCCATCTTATTACTTAAGTATATTGCACATAGCACAGAACCTTGAAGATAGGCACTTAATTATCAACACAAGTCTTAAAACAGAAATAAAGGAAAAGTAATTTTAAAAAAGAAAATTTAGGAATCTGAAGACATTATGATAATTTACTAAGAAAATCAATGAGAAAAGTAATAGAAATAATGGGATGATATGGAAAATTGTCTGGATTTTTAAAAAAAGAACTATCAAAAAGTTGCAAAGATTCCTATATGCCTTAAGCAATTACCATTAAGAAGATGCAATGAGAAAAACTTTTCCATTCAAAATTACAATAAATGATAAACATGTCAAGAAAACCTAAACAATTAGATAGTTATACTAATCATTGATAAATTAATTCATTGAATAATATGAGTTGGGGACCATGATTTACCAAATATCTGCAAAAAATAAGGAATAAGAGAATGACTATGATAAATAAACAGAAAAACTGACCCCAGAAAACACAAAGTTAGTTCAAGAAACCAAAGAGAACCTTTTAAATGGTTCTGTTGTAATGTCAAAAACATTTAATGATGTCACATCTACTGGGGGAAGGAAAGATTAGCATAAAGAGAAGAAATTCAAGACCATTACAAAGCTGCACAAAACAAAAAATATTGTGTCAGATCAAAATATGTAGAGACAAAAGAATAAAATAAGGGAGACAAAAATCTAAGCCAGTGATATCAGTAATTAAATTTGGGTCCTAGAGCACAGTAAAAATGCAAGGTGATAGAACTGTAATTGAAAAGATAAGCAACAGGAGGATAGATCCAAGGTGTTCTTTTCCAGTTCAAGGGGAACAAGTAGCTAGCAAGTTATCAAAAGAAATAACGGATAAGCTTTCACCAAACTGAGGGAGATCCTAAATTCTAAGAATAAGAGGGCCCTTTAAGGGGAGGGGAAAAATGAATGAAGGAAAGGTCCATAACTACAAACAAAAGTTATTTAGGTAAAGGAAGTTTCTAGTGATTTCCGGTAAAATAGACAGATCATCTCTAAGGAATGGGAATCGCACCGACATTAGACTTCTCATCACCACACTAAATTCCAGAGCAGCAGCAACGCCATCGACTTTTGAAAAGAAATTTGCTTGAATTTAAAATGGCTGTGCCCCACCAAATTATCAATCAAGAATCAATAAAGATGTCTTTAAATATACAAGAACTCAGAAATATTACCAGAATTATCTGAGTAAAACAGCAACTCTCTCCCCAGAAAAAAAGAATTTTAAAAGAAAGAAAACATCTGATTGGGGCCCAGAAGGAATAAAAGCAGCGGAAAACAACTAACGAGATCCACCAGACCTTGACACTTGAGACCATTTATTTTGAGTGGCAAGATTTTTAGTGACACAGCATTGCCTTTCCTTTAAAATGGACACAGTCAAGTGACTTGCTGTTTTGGGGGTTTCAGTTTTTAGACATCTTTAGAGAATAACAAAAGAGTTAATTTTATGAAAGGAAAAATGTAAATGACATAAACCCTGACAATTTGGAAACGATAAAGATCAGAAGTCGAAGCAGGAAAGGGAAGTGAGAGGTGGTAAAATACGATTCCTCAAGGGGGCTGTACATTAGAACGTGATAGCGCAGGAAAGAAAGCGTAAGAATGTGTTCTGCAACAAATAAAAAATATCTTGATCAGAAACGGCCAAATGAGAACACACCACTCTTCCTTCCTCAAATGTAATAAAACATAAAGGGAAATGAAAAGATATAAACCCATAATATCACAGAGAACTAAGTGGAGGGGAACCACCAGAGTAGGAGAGATTTATTTCAAACATTTCTGAAAGATGAATAGAGAAGTAGCAATGATTAAAACAGACTGAAAGGAACTTCAATCTAGAATTCGCTGGGAGAAAATTGCCGTGGACAGCGGGGCACCGGAAGTGTAAAAAGGTGTGAGAGAGAGTAGGGGTGGGAAAGTGGGTCAACCAGGAAGGTTAATCAAAGGTCTTCATCTGGAAGAGTCACTCACCCTTTTCCCTCAGTCCCCTCCCTACCCCTGCACCTGACTGACAGACAACTACACATTATCTCGAGGTCCTCCCCACAAAATGGTAGGGTTCTCTGCTGAATAAATTAAATGACCTCTCTGAAAAGAACTAGACCGCTAATGAGAAGTCTCCCTCATTCTGATATTTGGGGGCATCCAAGATAAAAGGTAGCTCCCCACCCTTCCCATATAAACTAGCCCTGCAATTCAGAGAGCTGCTGGACGCCACTCCCCCACAGCCCCTGCACCCTCAGCCTCAAGCGCAAATGGATGGGCTAGACAAAGAAGCGAAGTACAACAGGATAAAGGGAAGAGATCAAACAAAACACTTGAAAAACTGATCCCAGGGGAGAGATGATTGAAACAATCATTACTGACTTTAAAAGAATTTTCAGTAAGTACTCTCATGTTTTAATATTCTATTAATGTTTAAAAAAAAATACAGAAATATGAACAAGTCATAAGCATACAGCTTGATTTTTGCTTCTTCCGGTACCAGGAATCAAACTCACTACCTTGCGCTTGCCAGATAGGCGCTCTGCCACTGAGCTAAATCCCCAGCCCCAGCATACAGCTTGATATAACACCACAAAGTAACTACTATCTACACTACCTAGAATAAAATAAAGACAGCCGGGTGTGATGGCGCATGCTTGTAATCCCAGCACTCAGGAGGCTGACAA